CGCGCGCTTGGGCGCCTTGGCCGCAGCACGACGAACCCAGCGGAGCTCTGTGGCGCGTTCCCTCGGCCACCCGAGCCCAGCGGACCATTGTTTCCTCCCACGCCACTCTCCCTGGCCACCTGCTCGCAGAGCGGGCTGCATGTCGGGATCCCTGGATTTCGATTTTGGGTCCCACTCGCACGGACTGATTTAATTGGTAGGGGGTGTGCCCTGGGCATTGGCATTTTTACAGCTCCCAGGTGATTTCGATGTGCAGCAATTGGAAACGGCCGTCTAGATCAGCGCCTCTGCACTCGCGTGGGCAAAGGAATCATCTGGGGCTCTTGTGAAAATGCAGATCTGAATTAGGTAGGTCTGGGCCGGGGTCTGACGTTCTGCGTTTCTGAGGAGCTTCTGGATCGGGCCACACCTTGTTCGCAAGGCTGCGTGGACACTTAACGTCCTCTAGCAGGACAGCTCCAGGAGCTTCTCGCGCATCTCCATCCCCACCCCGCACCCATCCATTCTTTACACCTCACCCGGGGTGACTGTTCTAAACATTCTAAAGCAGAAATCTTAGAAGAGTAAATCGCAAAAACTTCAGTAGAAAGCAGTTCGGCATCTACCGAGGATTTAAAAAAAAATTTATGTAAGAAATTACAAAAACACTTTAAAGCATCATGTATAAATTTGAAATATTGGAAATAAACATTTAATAAACACAATATTGGAAATAAACACTGAATTCTACTTGAATTTGTTTCATTCCGTTATGAAATACTGTCTAACCCTTACAGATTTTTATGAAGCCTTTAGTGTCATGGGGGAAGTGCTTAATATGTTAAGCAGAACAAACAAAAGCCTGTAAAATACAGTTTCAGCTCTAAGAAAAAATGTATAGGAAGATAAATTCTCTGGGGAGTGTTTTCCTTTTTGACTTCTCACTTTTACAAATTTAACTCTTTTCTATAATGAGCATCTTGTCGCCTGCAGGAGTGATCCTAGGAAAGACTGAGAAAATGTAGGCATTTTTTAGGCAAAGAAAACAATTGACCAAAATCCTGGGGATAGGAAGCAGGGAATATTCGGGGAAGTTACGAATTAGAATAGGAGGAAATGAGCACTGAGGCTTGAGAAGTGGACAGGAACCACCATATTACAAGGGGCTTCTATATGATGGGGTTGGATAGGGCCTTTTATTCTTTATTATCAAGGGGATGAGGGGAGGGGACTTGGATAGACCCTCATCTCCTTCCCAGGGCTTCTCTCCAACACCCTCCCACTGTGCTCACCGCCACTCCTATGTTTTTACAGCACCCCCGTGACCGTCCGTTATTACTCATTTCTTTCTTGATTTGCCTTCTACCTCACTGGCCACTCTTCACCTTTTTTTTGCCTCCTTCTTCTATCCAACCTACATGCTGGGCTCTGCAGGACTTGGCCCTGAGACATTCCTCTTATGCTCTCCCTAAGTGACTGAACTCAGTTCCCATGGATTTAAATATCTTTATGCTTAAATCTTCTGTCGCTGGCTTTGACCCCTGCCCTGAATTCGACTTAAATATCCAGTGCCTAGTTGACATATCCACTTAGGTGTTGCACAAACACCTCAAATTGAACATGCTCATAAAAGTACCTTTGAGGTTTGCCTCCAGACCTGGTCCTCCCCACACACTTTCTCATCTCAACACACAGGCACCATCATCTACTCGTAGTCAAGAAGGAAACCTAGGTGTCATCTTGATTCACCGTCTCCTCATTTTCAAATTAATACCATCAGCAAGTCATGTCAATAGTATGTCCAAAATATACCTTGATTCTGCCTCTTTCTCCATCGCTGCTATTACCTTAGTACGGGGCATCAGTTCTCAACTGGAGTCCTGCAAAAGCCTGCCTACCTGCTTTCACTGGCACGATTACTCCCCTCCGATTCACTTTCTACACAGCTGCAAGAGTGACCTTAAAACATGAAGTAGAACATTTCCTTCTTCTGCTTCAAATACTTCCCAATGGATCTAGAATAAAACCCACACCCTCCAATGGTCTACATGGCCTTATGCGATTGGAATCCTGCCTCCCTAACCTTACTTTGTGCCAATCTCCCCTTCGTTCACTATTCTCTAGGACTTTTTTCACTCATTCAGAAATCTTTTATTGTAAATCTCTTATGTACTGTACAATGTGCTGGGAATATAACAATGAACAAGCAAAAGACACTGTCCTCACAGAAGTTATATCTCAGTGGGAGGAGCAGATAAACAAGATCATTTGGGTCTCAGCTTAAATGTCACTTCTTCACAGGCCTTTCCTGATTACCCTATCAATCTAAAGAGGTACCTCCTGTCTGCCATTCTCTCTTTTTTGCTCTCTTAAACAAACATTGAAATCTGCAGTTGTCTGTTTTTTAGGGTCTTGATCAATTTCAGTAAGAATTTATAGAATGACTGTATTAGACTCTTATAAATCAACTGTTTCCTTCATTTTTCTAGTCTTGAATCCCACTAATTTCAGGAGTAGATTAGGCCTTGTCTCTTCAATATACATCACTGTGGCTACTATCTAGAGCAGCAACTCTCAAAGTAGGGTATAGGCATCCCAAGACTTCTCAGGGGGCTCCTAAATTCAAAACTATTTTTATAATAATACCAAGATGTTATCTGCCTTCTTTACTCTCCTCTCATGAGTGTCCAGCAAAGTTTCCCAGAGGATACACAACTTGGATATGCAAACAAAATGAATGAAGAAGCAGATACCAGAATAGAGCTATCTTCTTAAGCCAGGTATTACAGATTTGAAAAAATATAAAACAATTCCACCCTTGCAACAAATTTGTTTTTGAAGTTATTTTCCATAAAAATGTTACATATGTTAGCACAATTTTTTATTATTATTTAAAAGTGATGGTTAATTTAAAGATCTCTGTTTTAATTTCTCTGTGGGAAATAATATATATATCACCATTACAAAAAAAAAACTCTTAAAAAAAAACTCTTCAGGGTCTCAATAATTTTTAAGAGTGTAAAGGAGTCCTGAGACTAAACATTTTGAGGATCTTGGTAAATCATGGCTATAAATGAAGAGGGAAATCAAAAGTCACCGAGAGACATACAGTGTCCTCAAGGGAAAAATAAAGAATTATGCTTCTACCCCACAATTTTTTTCATAAAGAACACTGAAAACATGATTCCTGGAGGACTATGGAATGTCTCCTCTTCCATTTAAATAAATGTTCTTCAATAGAAAGAGTACTGGAAGCCACCGGAAATGTGAATTTAAACAAAATAATGCACATAATGTGCTTAGAATAGTAAGCAATCACAAAAAATTACGTTTACAAAAAAGCACCTGAATATTAGTTCAAAATTCACTGTTCATTTCTTGGGAGGCTTTGGATAAATTATTTAACTTCTCTGAATCTACTTCCACATCAAGAACACGGGCAGATTAGTTGTCTTGTTTTATTTAGAGAATAAGCTTTTTCATTAGTAACCCACTGACGATCTCAATGCCCTAGACAATGTTTTCTCACGAAAAGAATGTGGCTAGCTTTCTCTTTAAAATACAAAAAAAAAAAAAAAAAATCTTTTATTTTCAAGAGAAAACCATGTTTGTATCAGGGAAAAATCAAACTAAACAAAATTGTAAAAAAAAAAAAAAGTAAAAGCAGCGCCCCTACACTTTCCTTCCACAAAAGCAGCCGCTGTTGGAGTTTGCCATTTAGCCTTCCAGAGGTTTTTCCTGTGTCGCACAAACAGCTACACACAACTGCTGAGTTTATGAGTCAATCTTTTCTTTCAATTAAAAATGGTATCTTACTTTGTACATGGTTCGGAAATTTTTTTTTCATTTAATATCAAGGACTTTTAAATTGTTCTCTTAATCATCTAATAAGAATAAAAGAATTCTTAAAATTAGAAGTTATAGAAACAAAAAAATTTTAAGAACACAATGTTAAATTCCCAGTAAAATTTCCTCCAATCGACTCAAACTAATTTTAAATAGCTTCATGATAGAAAAAGTTCCTTATATTTCTCTTGATAATGATTCATCTTAAAGGGACAACAAAAAAGGTTGCAATATTTATAATATATTGTAGTTTAATAGAAACATAGGTTACACAGTTTAAAAGTATTGTAATATAAACATCACTTATAAACAAAACCAAATAATGTGGACATTCTAGTTCTAAAACATTCATGGTTTCTCTAAAACACTAAGATGCCACCTCAATAGTGATCGCTTCACATTTTCCAGTCTCTTGATCTGTGCACGTCACATGTAAAGATCCATCCCTAAACAAACAAAAAATAACAATTCCTGAGCTCATTTTAAAAAAAATAGAAAGTCCTTAAGGAATTACTTGAGGACTCTGAGTAAACAAGAGATAATTTTAATTTTTGAAAAAAGTATTAAAAGAAGCATAACTTCAATGTCTTTAAATACT